AAAAAAAGTTCCCTGTTTATGGATAGGAAGACTCAATATCATTAAAATGACAATCCTATCAAAAGCAATCTACATGTTTAACACAATCCCAATACAGATAGCAAATTCAGTTTTAAAAGAGATAGAAAAGGCAATTGGTACTTTTATCAGGAGAAGAAAGAGACCTCCAATAAGTAAAGCACTACTGAGAAACAAAATCGAAATGGGAAGTTTAGTACTCCTTGACCTCAAAATTCACTACACAGCTGTAATAACCAAAAAAACATCACTGTAGTGGTACAATGACAGGCACACAAAACAATGGAACCAAATCAAAGACCCAGAAATGGACCTATTTATCTATGGCCAATTGATATTTAACAAGGAAACAACCTATCAAATGGGGAAACGACAACCTCTTCAACAAATGGTGCTGGTAAAACTGGACTGCTGCCTGCAGAAAGCTGAAGCAGGATCCACTTCTCACACCATACACAAAAATCCACTCAAGGTGGATCAGAGACCTAGAAGAAAACCCCTCAAATGATAAAGATCATAAGAGATTAAGTGGGACCAAGCCCATGGTACAAAGTGGCTGACAAACACAGCCAGAAATATATAACCAGGAGAGGATAAAGATCAATGAATGGGACCCTCTAAAGATTGAAAAGAAAACCAACTGACTGGGGAAAACATTTGGCAGAGCCATCTCAGACAAGGGTGTCATAACAAAAGTTTACAGAATACTACAGGGCTTCAACAAGAAAAAAGACCCAATTGCAAAATGGGCAAGAGACAAGGAAAGACTTTTCATAGAGGAAGATATTCAGATGGCCAACAGACACATTAAAAAATGCTCAAAATCACTGGCAATAAGAGAGGTGCAAATAAAAACCACAATGAGATACTATCTTATTCCAGTAGCAATGGCAAAGTTTAACAGGACAGCAGGTAATAAACACTGGAGAGGATATGAAGAGACAGGAACTCTCATTCACTATTGGTAGGAGTGTAACATGGTAATTCATAGTAACTCTGGAAGGCAGTTTGGTGTTTCCTTAAAAGGCTGAACACAGAAATTCCATATGACCCAGCTATTCCACTACCAGGAATATACCCTGAGAAAATTTAAAATGAGATACAAACGGAGATTTATACACCAATGTTCATAGCAGCATTATTCACCAATGTAAAAACATGGAGACAGCCCAAAGGAGTAGACTGAGAAACTATGGTATATTCACACAATGGAATACTATGCAGCACTCAGGAGCAACAATTTCAAATATTACTACATAACTTGGTGGCAGGAGGGGGACAGGAAAGCATTATGATGAGTGAACTTACTCAGTCTCATAAAGACAAATAATGCATAAAACCATTACTGTAGAAATAGAAAGATGACTAGTAAAATGTGTCTAAGGATCCAAGGGGGTGCAGTGGAGCAGAAGGGTGAGGATGGGCGGGGGAAATCACGGGGTCACACAATTTGGGAGGTGGAGGTGGGGGTAGGTAAAGGAAATGGGAAAGATCCGGCAGCCATCTGGAAAGACAGAGTAATGGTGATTAATTTTATAAAATATAATAAATGAGAATGATTACATGAAAAACTATGTGAATGAAAGACAGTGTGTGAAACACAACTTACACAAATTTTGTAAGCAAACCAATATAATAAAATAAAAATTAAAAAGGAAAAATGAGGCCAGAACTTAACTGTGGAAGAGACAAAATTAAAGTAAGTCCAAAAGAACCAAAATACAACCTTAAGTCTATTCCACCTGAACTTAAAAACCATCTCAAGAACAGATTAGTTGCAATGAACACTAATAACTGAAGATCAGATGAGTTGTGGAATGACATCAAGAATACAATCCATGAAAAAATAAGTCATAAAGACAAAATAAGGGGGAAAAAATACCAAAATGGAGGTCAAAGAAAGACTTGGCAATTTGCATTAGAACACAGAGAAGAAAAAAGAAGAGAGAGAAGAAATGCTCAAGTAAAAGAGATGAACAGAAGATTTCAAAGGTCAACTGGAAAAGACAAAGCAAACTTTTATAACAAAATGTGCAAAGAGCTAGAATTAGAAAACT